TGTAGGAGCTCAGGAAGCACAGTCTGAGAGGAGCTTAAACACCTTTTATTGAAGGAAGTTGGAAGCTTACTTTGTCAGTCAGAAAGTACCTTGCTACTAGTTCATGGTGGTAATAACACAAATCCATTAAGAAGTCTCTTGGTATACCAGAGCTGGTGTCAAAATGTCACTTGTCTGTGACTGAGTTACGGTGGTACTGCTGTTCTGTCCTGAATATATTATTGTAGTACTGCAGTGTACTGTAGATAGCTACCTTTTGCCATGTGAATGAGTACAGTGGTGAATTGTTTCCAGTGGTGATGAAGGTAATCTAAAAAGAAGTCATTGTGGTTAAAAGCTTTTGAAGAATCTAGACAGATGGACTTCATGCATTTGTGCCATAGCAACTCAAAATAGTTATATGGGTAATCCTACAGTAAAGCCAGTAAAGTCATGATGGCATACTTTAAGCCTCTGTTTTTGAGCAATTAAGAGTCTGACCTAGACACTGGTCCAACTTACTTACGTATGAAGTTGGGTTGCCTCAATTGCCTAAAATTAGTGGTAAGCATGATACCTAGCCTTTCAATAACACTAAGATCAGATTTAAATCTGACGTAGAGATGCATGACATTTGATGTAGCTGAGATCTCTCTAATTTATCTGTAGTGTAGTCCTGGGATCTGTAATGAGAGAAAGCAGATTGCATGAGTAGTCCTTTCCATTTACCACTGGCACACATTTAAAAGCTTTTTTAGAAGTCAGGGTGCTAATGTGTGGACACTGAAATAATACAAACCTTCAAAGCCAGATAACTGAGGCCAACAGCCTTGAAATCTAGCTTGCTCTCCATCAGTGAACTGAATATTAGACTTCTCAAGCCTTAGACACGACTCTAATTGGGCCACACTGCCATTTTCCAGGTACTGTAACTTTTGGTTCTTGCTGTTGTCAGATCTGACTTCATTACCTTGCGGGTGAAAATAACTCAGCAAGTTACACATTTGTAGCTGTATTTGGTTTAACACTAAAACACTACTGAGGATTAGACAGCATCGTGACTTGATTCTGAAATGGTCCTGTGGAGGTGGGCTTGTCTTCTTTGCTCTGTCTGGAGTCTGAACTGAAAAACAAAATTCCTTGCTGTCCCTGCCCTGCCATTGCCACAGTGTGCTCCGTGGACTAAGTTACGTATCATATGATTATACAACAGGGAAGTGTGTACAGTGCTGATGGCTGTACAACATGCAGGTATCATGCAGGTGTATAGCAGCGTTGCAGCTAAATCTTTGTGGTAAGTCTCAACTGACAGCCAGAATCCAGTGTTGGAAGCTGCCACAAGGGCTACATCTTCAGAAAAGAAAAAAGGGGAAGAGAAAGGCTGCTCTAAATATCTGCACTTTGTTTTAATATTTGAATTTGGATTTACCTCAGGTTTCAATAGCGTAGGCACCTTCTTCAGTGCTTCTGGGGGGGAAAAAAAAAATCCTAATTTGAACCTTGGTGTTTGTATTTTCTGCTTCCTACTCTGTTTTCTGAACAGAAATGGAAGATAATGTCTGGTTTTAGTGGTTGCATCGGAGCTCCTGCCAATATTCTAGCTATTTCACACAAAAAAGATAGTATCAAACAATAAAAATCTTAAGAAGTATGTTTTGGCATATATTGAAGGGGTGTTGTCAGTTTAGGAACGTACTGTCCTACTGAGTTAAGGCTCTGTAATCACACACTAGAAGGAAGTAGATGGGGCTACTTTATAATGAGTCTGTTATTAGAACTCTGATCTGAAGGGTCTTGTAAAGGCATTAAGGAGGTCACTGGAAAATTTTGAAGGCATTTGTTTTCTTTTACTGATGCTTAATAATGAGTATTTTAATCAGCATGTTGTGCTTCAAAGACTGCAGTTTGCAGTTTTGCTGCCTTCCTCTTGCCCTAATTGGTTGACCTTGTATGGTGGGTACCATGATCTTTAAGATGGTGTGCGTGCTTCTTCTCATGTTCAGTTATTGCTTGTCATCTTTGGAAGTACTTAGCTAGCATTATCTGTTTCTTACAGTTCTCAAACTAAGATCCTGTTAAAATTTGTAAGATAATGTTTATATGATGGTAAAATGGTAGAATGTGTGTGCTTCCAATGCAGGGAATTACAATTAATTCAAAAGCAATAAGTACCCACTGTGTTTTTGTTAAATAAGTGGTGTACGGGGATCTCTATTCCATATACAGGTTAGAAGAAATGTCCTCTTGTGTGATTGTGTGGGCATTTCTCATCAGATTTAGCCTCATCTGAGGCATGAGGCTGTTAATAAGAACCAGTAGCGTTATGAACCATAGGATATTTCTGTGTGTACTGACGGTGTGCATGCACTACAGTTGGCTTCGCATGGTGTTCCTCCTGTACAGGGAATAACAAAACAGACTATACCAGGGTGTTTTGGAGTAACTCTTAAAAAAAGGAGCAGGATTATTTTCAGGTTGGGGTTTTTTTTGTGAAATAGTATACTTCAAAGGCTTTTTTTTGTTTGTTTGTGCAGCCCAAAGTCTTTGCGGAGTGCATGTGTTTAAAAAAAACCACAGGTGGTATCTTCAAATAAGTCTGTCTTGGGATGTAATTTTCTGTTAAAGTAGGTGGTAGGTAGTTCTTTAAATGGCCCTTTCCTGTTCAGTGTTGTGCTCTGCAGGCAATTCATAGCACTGCTTGTCAAGTTTTGTGGAAAAACACAGTGTTCAAATTTACCAGTGTAGAGGCAGAGTTTTGTCTTAAAACCAAACTCTAATTAGTCTAAAGTTAGAACATTTGTTTCCTTAGCCTTCTGCATTTTTAAGTGTGTGAGCTGGGGGATGGGAGGGGGGGAATTAATTTGCTTTCTTTTGCAATCACCTGCAACCTCTGTATATTCCAGAGAAGTATTAGTCCCCAGGCTGCAGGTCAAGGAACACTGCTGCAGAACATCAGAAGAAATAGTGGTAGAGAATCTAAACCTGTTCATTGTCAAGGGAAATAAGCTGAGCTGTTCAGATCACTGCACAATTCCCTCAGGGTGTGAGCTTTGGCTGCTCTTGCTAGCCTGCTTTATCTTAATCAAGGATGAACATGTGTCAGGCCCAGGATCCATCTATTCAGTATCTGGTCTTCAAGGTGACCAAGTGGGTGCGCTGGAAAAGTGGTGGTGGTTTTTTTTTTCTGAGAGGCTCAAGTCTAGTATCCCAGCCTCTGGGAGCCAGTGATTTCGAGACCAGCTGACCCAGAGGATGAATTCAGAGCAGTCAGAGTTGGCAGCTGTTAAAGATGTCTTGATGCTGTGTGAAGCCTATGAATCCCACCATTTTTGTCACTTGCAAACTTGAAGTGATGATGTTGCTGTAGCTGGACCTTGGGCTTGCCTCCTTGGGACACGTGAGATGTTAATGTCTGATGGAAGCTGGGTCAATGCTTCTGTGAAGACCACTGGACTGTGGTGTTGCCTGGAAAAACAACTGTCCCAGGAACATCTGGGTTGGAAGCTGGTCAGTGTCCTGTGAACATATGTTCTTGTTTGCTCAGATTTTTCCCAGGTATCTGTCAGTACCTACTCATTGAGTCACAAGTGACTGATGTGATGATAAAGTTCCTGCATGAATCAGCTTACATGACTATTCTCTGAATTCAGGGTTTCTTTATTTGGAAACATCACCTGTCATTTATAGCGTGGGTTTTGACATTTTGTAACTCTGAAAAACAAAAAATCCCCATCTCTCCTCTCCCCCTCCCCCCAACACTACCCTACAGGGCATGTGGCTTTATTTTTAGGGCTCTGGGAATTTTTTTTGCAAGTATATTGACTTCATTATGTTGTTTTTGTGCAGTACTTCGAAATCTTTTATTCTAACTAAGCGTGGGTGATAGGGTGTTAATTTTTTTCAAGGGCTATGACTGAGGCATGAACATTGGGATCAGTGGAGTGTTGAAGACTCTTTGACTGTGACTGTACTGTGAGGGAATATTGCTGTTGCAAAGGCAACAGCTAAGTAATGCCCAACTGTGATTCCCATTACTTCTAAGCAAACAAAATAGTAACTGAATGCAAAATACTGGTGTGTGATTTCTGTGATCATTTCCAGAGTTTCCTCTGCAGAGGAGGCATAGCCCTGAAAATGCATCCTTGAGAAGTGATGGGATCTAACCCCACTCTTGTTGCTTCATGGAATGTCCTTTGGCTCTTGCACGTGAAAAGAGCTGCCCAGGAGCAGAATGGTTGTGACTGGTCTGGGACCTGGGCAGTTACAGCTGGCTAAAGGAGTCCCTGCGGGTCTTGCTCTGACCAGGCTAGGGGGTGTTTTTTTATGCAGCAAACATTTCTTCAAATTACTTCCTCAGTGCTACCCTTAAAACCTCCTGATAAATAGCCATGTCAGTTGGAAGTACAGTTTATTTCCATTAGCAGGTCAAAATCCTAATGTTGAAGCCAGCTTGCGCAAAGGGACCTTTGTTGATGAGATAAGCTAGCTGTGTCAGGATGAAGCAAAGGCAGCTTGCCACTCTAGCTGTCTGGAGGCAGGACTAATATCTCTTAAATAAGAGATGAGCTAGGGAAACTGTCTTTTTTCTCATCACGTGCTACAGAAAACCAGGAAAAAAATTCAGCAAAGTATCTCCTCCTTCCTCACCCCACTTGTCTTCTGTAACTGCGCTCAACTCTGGCTGTTGCCCGGGAAAATGGACCGTGGGGCAAAGTTGAGAGCAAGATACTCCAGGTAGGTTACGGCTGAAGGTCAGCATGGGCTGCATTTTCCTCATGCTGGCCCAAATAGAGTGGAGCCGAGTTGCTGCTTTTTCTTAACAAGCCTCTCGTCCACTCTGCGCTCACATGGACAAAACTAGTGTTCAGCCAAAATGCAGGGAGACCTGAGGCGCCAGCACAAAAGTTATGGTCTGCAGTCACAGTGGATTTAATGAGAAGACGTTCTAATGAACTTTCAACCTAGGTTCTTAATTCTGACTCTGGATGCACTTCAGATGTGTTTATTCTTTCTCTTTTCAGTTCCCGCTGTGTGATGGCTCTCACACAAAGCACAACGAGGAAACTGGTGACAACGTTGGGCCTCTGATCATCAAGAGGAAGGAGGCATAGAGTGGACAGTAGAAGCTACAAAATGAATGTCTGACAAATCCTCTGCTCACTTGTAATTGGGGGAAAAACCACAAATTCTTTGTCGCATCACTGAAGACTTTCCAATGTAGTATATACATCAGGCTTCAGCAGGTGTATTTTCTCTGGTGCTTGTCTTGTTTTAATCACTACAACGCATAATTTACTAAATAGTCGTGGTTTAAATTTTTTGTCCTGTAAAGTGTGTGTACCCTCTCACTGAGTATGAAACTAAAATGACGCACAGAATGTACTTCATCAGAAAATAGGTATTAAATTATTTTCAAATACATGTGTACTACTCTGAGGCTATTCAGTAGAAAGTGTGTTCAAAATGTAGATCTTAAAATTCTGGAGAGATTCTAAAGTTGCAGGTCTGGATAGATTTCTATGTAAAAGGCAGTAGCAGGAAAGAAATCGTGCCAAAATGCAGCTTAACCTCTGATTACGCTGCATGTTCTGCAGGTGTCAACGTTTGGCCTGTTACACTACTGTTCTGTGTGGCTTTTGTAAAAAAACAAATTTAAAATAGTGAACTATGAGCAGACAACATAAAAGGCTTATAGCAAGACAGGGCTAAAGGGCAACTTTACCTTTGATTTTACAGCAGTGTTGAAATTTGACCCTACTACCATATGGTATCAAGAACATACTACCGGAACTGCAGACCTGTATTTAGAGTAGGATTAGGAAGATGGTCTCTGTGAGAGCTTTCTTAATAGACAAGTGGAATGATATGAAGAGCTCGGAGTGATGGGCAGGGGGTGGCAGGGTTGTCTTTGCTGCTAGAAAGCCTTAGTTTCACTTGCAATCTCTAGCAGTGAAGCTAACTTCCCCAGACCACAGGACACTTCTGTGGGGGAGGCTATGCTGATTTATTCCAGAAGCTAAAATAAAAACTAAAACCCCACCCATCATTACTGTTTGCTTCATCATTGCTCTGGCTGGTTCAGGAGGACTCTTCCTGCTGTGGAGGGAGGAGGCACACCTTTCTTACTAAGTGGCCTTAGGCTCTATATGTCTTAAATAACTCTGGCCTCCCTGGGCTAACTGTTGACATGGTTCAGCTAATTTTACCAAAAGAACTGACATGGACAAGGAAAGGCTCTGGCCGCAGCTAGAAACAAGGGGGAAAGGAAGGATGAGACAAGGAGAGCTCTTACCCTCCTTTTGTACGGCACTTGTCTGCCTTGCCTGACACGGTTGCATTAATGGCTAGCATGTTGGTTTCCGTAAATTAAGTAGCTTTGATTTATTAACATGCAAATGACTACAAAACAAAACCCAAAGAGTGGGGTGGCAGAGGGCAGTTTTGTATTAAGCCCGGTCCATTAGCGTAATTGCAGCCTGTGTAAGATTGAGCTCTCAATGTCTGGGACAGAGAGACTACCTCAGAGCTAGAGGAAAGGTCTTTTCAAGAAGCTGACATTTTAACCTAGACCCTTAGAGATTATTCCAGGTGATCAGGGCAGTAGAGGTTTTATTTAATTTTTTTTAAGGGTGTGGTTGGTATGACTGGTGAAAATTGAAGAAAATGTTTTGCATATTCTTGATGTGAGACTTTCAGAGGCTGAGGTCTTAGCTGACTGGTCTGAACTTTGGCAGAAGGCACAAGAAGTAGAGAAGGTGGCACAGAGTCAGAGAAAGAGGGTTTGCAGGTGGAGTGCTATAGTGGGGGCAACTGCTGCCTGTGAGAGACCCCTGCTTGTAAGAAGTTGCAGTCAAATACATTTAGTTTCTATCTTTTCTTCCTGTCTTGACTGTAAAGGTACTTGATGTTTTTTACTTGGCCAAGTACTGATGCATATGGAAAGTTGTTTTAACCTTAAATTATCAAATACATTGCTTTTATTCAAAACAAAGTTATTTCTGTATTATTAGAACATGACACTGGATATTTCTGTATTTTTGTCAAATACACATTTGAGCTCATCTTAATCTCGGGGTTGTAATGTCTGTGTTATCTCATGGGTGTGCCATTTCTTTCAAAGGAGAGTTACACTGTGAGTAGTGCTGTATGCCAACGCTGCTGTAACCATAAACCTGTGTCTGGGTTGGGTTTTCCTTCTGAGACTTATTTTCCTGTTAGCAGCAAAGCCTGGCTGCTCTTGAAGGAATAAAAGTTCACTGAAAACTGCATTAATGTTCTGAGCTATGAAGTCCTAAAGTTTCAGACGAGTCTCCCGAGTCATAAAACTTATTTCCTGGAGTTTGCCAGTAGAACATTTTGTGGAGTTTGGGTGTCAGGGAAGTGGGCTCCATCACAAGTTTTTGTTCCTGGGAAGCAAAGATGCAGGAGCTGAGTGAGTCTTTGCTGATTTACCTCCTGGTGGGTTTGTTTGGGAGAAGTGTCACATTTATAAATGTTGACACAAAGTGGTTAAATTTTATTTTGATGCTTGTACAATTTTCTGAACTGTACCTAAAAGTTCCTGTTTACTCATGTATGTGAGCTGTTTGAACATGATAATGAAGAGAGATACTTGAATTTGAGTAAACAAACTTGCCAGCAGTCTTGATGAGCATCACAGAGAACACTTCATTTTTTTTTCCTTAGTGCCATAATAGGTTATGATGTTCTGGTAGTCTGAGTGCTTGCCTGCTCCGGTGTTTTCCGAAATCTCTGTTCTTTAGTGCTTTCCGAAATCTCTAGAATATGAAGCGAACTGGTTAGATCTTTGCCAAGTTTTTAACCATAAAGAAATTCTTCTGCAAATGTGCAATTTTCACATCACACTGAAACTCCTACATGAAAATGTGGTACAAATCCTTCATATTAAATCAGTGAAGGATTTTTGTCCCAGAGTTAAACTGTATTTCTGTTCTACATGTAAGTAAGTGTTCATTAGGAAGGTGAACACATTAAAGTACTGATTCTGCAGTAATTCAGTGTGCCTCATCAAAATAGTCTGAATGTCAAATATTCAAGTGCTTCTAGAATTGGCATTCTTGAAGAGGAGATGGCTGTAAGTTACAGGTGTTTTCTGCACGTTTAATTCAAGCACCGTTAATCTAATGGATAGTTTCAAATGGTGGAGATGGGCATTGCAATCACACGCTGGTCCACTAGGAGGAAACAAACGCTGTGCCATGGATACTCCTTGATGTGGGCACTGCTGTTCCTGTGGGCTTTTAACGCATGCATGCATTTATGGGGGGCGGGGGGGGCAGGTCAGCAGCATTGCTGTCTGAGCCCAGGCATCTGGAAGTGCTGCATAAACGTGTTTGGGACTAAGCAGCTTTTCATGCACGGAGGCTCATGTGCTTTGAATCTAGGAGTTGTATCGCCAGTTCCCCGACTGCCAGCTGCAGAGCTGACTGCAGGCCCTACTAAAGTTTTCACCATATTGTTGCAGTTTGGACCTTGTTCTGGTGCTGTTGGGGGTCTGTAAAATTTATTTTGCGCAGTTGAACAGCAGCTGGAGTGGGATTTTCCTTTAAGTGTAATACAGCTAGATCAAGACATGGAAACATGAGTCACTGTGGTATCACAGTTGCTTACTCCAATAATGGAAGAACATTTTATAATAGCAGGAAGGATAAGAACGTAGGTGTGAAACTAAACATTGGTATTGCAACGGAACCTTTCTGTCAGCTGGCTTCTCTTTAGCTGTCCTGAGCATGGAAGCCTCTTACTAAATTTGGCTTTTGTTTCAACTCCTGAAGCTTCAAGGCTGACAAAACCCACCCTGAGCCCTGGCTGGATTAGGTGGAAGAGCACGACTTCCCCATAGCGTGTGGGCAGGGAGGGGATGCCCTGCCGCGGCTGCCAGCAGACTGAGTCTACCAGTGCTCAGCACCTCTTATTTCAGCCCGGTCATAAGATTTCACGTGGACCTGCTGAGAAGACCAAATGCCTTTTGCATCGTCACTGGTACACGTTAAGCCCAGCAGTGTCGGATACCTGTTCCCCCAATTGCTTTGTGCACCCAGGCTTGTTCTGCCCTGTTTTCCTGCACTGATGAGTGGCTTCGCTGCACCGGCAGGAGAATGATCATTTTCCTAGAGCCATCATTAATTTAGGATGGGTAGCGGGGGCTGCTGCTTGAAGCTCTCTGCTGCTTGTTTCTTCTGTCGCGGTGTTGTACCTGCGCCGCCTGCAGTGCATAGTGTGTTTCTTGGGCAGGATGATTTCCAGGCTGCCTAATGCTGAGGCTAACGCAGAGAGGAGCTGAATAAAAACTAAATAACATAAAAATAAATAAATCAAACGTGCAGAGAGAAACAAGAAGGGGAAAAAGAAGAACTAAAATGGCAGATGGGAGGAGAGCGTAAGCTAGAAGATTTAACGCTGTATAACATTGCTAGGTGGTAGCAAAAGGGATAAATCAAAGTACAGAAAACGGTATGTTGCATTTCATCATACCTCTTAATAGAGCAAAGCGTAAGATGTACAAAGTGGCTATTCATTAGCTGCTGGGACTAAGCGGTTCTATTAGCCAAAAACGTACCCCTTAGAGCCGAAGGGGTTATGTGCCTTGAGCAGACATCTGTTACTGTGGTTTTTCTTCCTGAACCGTTTGTGAAATCCTGCAGTACTGGACAGAAAGCAACGTACACTCATGCCGTGGGTCCCCTGTTAGCAGTCTAATGTTCTTCCATGCCCCTTTGTAAACTGTTTAATTAGATGTGCAATTATAATAAATAGAAGGAGCATTTACTGGTATGCTCCCTGAAGTCAGTAAAAGCACAGTAGGTTTACATGATTGTAGCAAAGCAGAATTCAGTCCACCTTTCTCATGTGCAGTTTGGACTGGTAAGAAAGGGTTTATCGGGGTTCCCAAGCAACTTCTGTTTTCTTCGATACAAAGAAGTTGCGTACGTCTCATGTAAGCACCGAGAGATCATTTCTCTTGTTATTTTTTTCCTAGCTGAAGACTGAACCATCCCTCCTCTCTGATTTGACATTGCATTGCCCTTAACCCGTCCTGCTCTGCATCCTTTTTGTCATACAGACTGCAGTTTTCTTTTGGTTTTTTTGAATGCGTGGCACATTTATACAAAAAAAGTGCCTTCTGCTCTCTGAGAGAAGCCTGTGCAGAAAAGAGGAGCTTCCTGAGCATGCCAGAAATTATAGCTTTAATGTGTGAAGCATTCAAAATTCAGTACACTGCAAGGATCTGCTCAGTAGCTGGAATGTTTGTGCCATTCAGTCAAGTCAGCTTGCAACAGAAACACAGCAAGATGAATGATAAGGTCACTGACTGCGTAACTTTTCTCAAATACTTTTCTGCAGCTGGCAAATATAACCATACATGGATAAGACGTGGTCAAGATGCACTGTCTGTTCACCGCTGGGACTCTTGCTCAAGACTCGGGTACCAAAACAATGGCCAGAACAGACTTTCACTTCAGTAATTATTAAATTTGTTGCTTTTTTCAAACTCTGTGATCTTGCTCTTTCAATCTCATTCTCAGCTCCAACATCTGCACAGGTTAAATTACTTTTTAAGGGTTGAAATTCTGTTGCTTTGCAGACAAAGTCTGGGAGTAGAATACTGTTTAATGGAAGAGACTTTTCTTAATGCCAGTTGGCAGTGGGTTTAGTGAATAAATAGGTGTTTGATTCTACTGCAGGTGGAGGCAATGTAAGTAGCCTCTAGGGAAAGACAAAGAGGCATTTTAAATAAACCTCTTGGCATGTTAATCATCTTAAATCAAGTACTGGGGTTATCCTAAAGCATTAGGATGTGACTGGTAAAATGCCATCATGCATTTGTAAACCCTGAGCAATCCCCTGATAGAGATACAACACTGTACTTGGAAAATCTTTGTTTAGAAGGACAAAGGGAATAATCTTTATCCACCTGTAAGCCATGAGATCAGGAGATGGTACTAAAGACTTTGCTCTGATGCCTCTGTTTCAGAAAGAAACACAATTTCTTGCCCAAGGATCTCAAAGCACATACATCTCTCATTGCCATTTTCTAGGGCTGGAGGCAGCCAAAATATGTTTCATCTATTCAGATTCTCCACAAATCATGGTTTAATTCCATCTTCTGCACCAATTAATTAATGGTATGTTCCTATTCTCTGTGAGAGACCAGGCATGGAAGCTGGACTCAATACCTGGCACGCTGAGGCTACACATAGCAGCAAAATGATGCCTTTTGTCTTCTTCTCAATGCTCTTCCTGATGTTGACCAACATTTTATTGGCTCTTTTTGGCTGCAGACGCACACTGGGCTGATGATCTCAGACAACTGTCAACAGTGACTTCACGATCTCTTTCCTGGGCTGTGACAGCCGGTTCCACGATCAGCATTGATGAGCTTTGGTTTGGATTGTTTTCCTCTACATGCATTACCTTATATTTATCCACACTGAAGCTCCCATGCAAATGTTGTGCCTTTCATTCAGTTTTGTGAGATTCTGCGGGACTTCTTTGCCATTGGTGTGGCATTTTACTGCCCTAAGGAGGTCATGAGCATCCGCAGACCTGGAGATTTCGTGCACACTCCCTTCTGTGGGTTGCGAATGAAGATGAATAAAACCAGTCTCAGCACCCACCCACTGCTGCCTCCTCTCCACCCTGAAAGCTCTTCCATTTGCTTCCCACCCCTTAACCTCCTCTCAGTCCAAAAATGAACCTTTCCTCCAAATTCTTTGCTTAGTTTCTTTAATGATAAAATTACACAACTGCTATGAATTAACCTCACAGTCACTTTCGAAACTTACTGTATTATCTATCTTACTATCTAACTTACTATCTCTGGAGAGTGTAGGTTGGTTTTTGACACCGTCCCTTTGTTTTCATCCTGGAAAACCCCAGATGTACCTGGTTAGCAGGGAGGAGAATAGTGTCAAAGAGTTTGCATCAGTCAGAGCCAAGTAAAATATTAATCATTGTGGGACCTGCTGCCTAAGTGACAACACAATAGCTAGGAAAGAAAGTGGGATTGCAGCACCGTTGAGTTTTACAGCTACAACAGACAAGGGTAGTTTAGATTTTCCTTTACTTAATAAGAACAAAAAAGACAGCACAGAACTACTGTGAATTTATCAAAGGATTAAAAGCCTTGAGCTATTTTAAGAGGGTGTGATACAGTGACCCTTCTGCTGTGAAACGGCGAGAAAAAAAGAACTGCAGCACTGCTACAACTTCCACACTGCTATGACAACATCTGCCGTACGCCGAA